CCGATATTGTCGCAATATCGAGTGATCTATGGACCATTTGATAACCGACAGAGAGTCTCACACAACCAGAAAAACTGAAAAACGTCATATCATTCTTAAAAGTATCTGGTTTCTATTGGAAGATCTGACCTAATGAACTTTTTGGAAATGAACCATTTTAATTTTTGTGTATCTATTCTCAACTGAGATTAAATGAATGTTATGTAACGATGATTTTGCATCATACCTACCTTAGCTTAGTATTGTCATCTTGAACTAAAAGAAACATGCAACAATAGAATTTGGATAAATCGAAAACTTACGTGAACGCAAACAAGATCGTGAAATGCAGATAATGACCACAAAAAAAAAAAAATAATATTAATGAATATATGCCTGACAAATTTAGTCGTGTAACATTTCCAGAAATTATCTTTTGTCGCTAATAGAATCTGAAAGTAATGACAATAGTATATCCTTTTCGATTAATCTGGAATTTGCGTAGTTAGTTTTTAAAAATGCGACACTTACCACTTAGACATGTAAGAGATTATATTTTTATACTTTAGATTTATATATTATATTTATATATTATTGAATACGGCTAATAACCAGAGAAGTTGACGCCGTCAAAAAAAAAAAAAAAAAAAAAAAAAATAGCAATAATAAAAAAAAAATAATAACATAATAACAATAATAACAATAATAACAATAATAACAATAAAACAATAATAAAATAACAATAATACAATAATAAATAATAACAATAATAACATATAAAATAATAACATAATAAATAATAACAATAATAACATAATAACATATAACAATATACAATAATAACATAATAACATAATAACATAATAACAATAATAACAATAATAACAATAATAACATAATAACATAATAACAATAATAACAATAATAACAAAATAAAATAATAACAATAATAACAATAATAACAATATAAAATAATAAATAATACAATAATAACAATAATAACAATAATAACAATAATAACAATAATAACAATAATAACAATAATAACAATAATAACAATAATAAAATAATAACAATAATAACAATAATAACAAATACAATAATAACAATAATAACAATAATAACAATAATAACAATAATAACAATAATAAAATAATAAATAATAACATAATAAAATAAAAAATAAATAATAACAAAATAACAATATAATAATAAATAATAACAATAATAATATAACAATATAACAATAATAAAATAATAACAATAATAACATAATAACAATAATAGGCCGTCCGGCCAACTATCGGTGTCTTCCTGTAGCATTCCTGTGCGTTACCTAGCAGGATTGTTGCTGGAACTGCCGTAGGATTACCACCTTCGTAGCGTCGCTGCGCCTGGTGGTGTCCTGTTGCTACGGTAGTGTCGAAGACCGTACAGCCGGCGCCCGACCATCTGTCCACTACCTTCATCCTTTTTACACTCGGGTCGGCGTGGGACTGGTGGAGGGGGCGGCATATGCCGACTCCTCGGCCTTTTTCTCAGCCCCACGTCGGCTCGAGTAGACCCATAACCCATCCTTGTCATTTCCATACCTTCTCTCCTTGCCCCCCACTACGCCCGGTAATCCCAAGGTGTTTGCCGTGCTGAGGGGAT